AGTCTCCCATGTGGGCAGACTTGAGGCCAGATCCAAGGGGAAGGGCTGATCAAGGGAGAAGAGAAACTGGGGAGGAAGAAGCCCTGATGGTGTGGTGGATCAGATCTTAGGCTGCTAACTGAGAGGTCAGGAGTTCACATCTCCCAGTTGCTCTGCTGGAGAAGGAAGGATAATCTCCTCCTGTTCAGATTTATAGCCTTGGGACCAGATGGAAAATACAGAGTTACAATCAAATCAGCAGCAGTGGGTTTGGTATAGTTTGGGGAGGGGGTGGTCTACCACTGCTTTCCAGAAGAATCTACTGTATAACTTCTCCAAATGGGAAGCTTCCTTGATTTCTTTTAGATGAATGTTGTTGTTTTGTGCCATCGATCACCTATGACTCACAGCAACCCTTTGTACAACAGCTCTGAAGCCTTCCCTGTCCTGAGTCAGTCTCACTGACTCTGACACGCCTACCCCCATCGCCCTAATTTGTATATCAATCTGTCTTATCCGGGGTCTTTCTCTCTTTCGCTGTCCCTCCACCATTCCAAGCATGTTTCTGGAACTTTATGTTTGCTTATGGGAAATGTGGTAAGTAAGCTTTTTAATAGTTTTATATGTAAAAACCAACAAACAATCAAAATCAAATCTGACCAGGGACCTCTGGGAGGAGTGGTGTCCTCACCTGGGCACTTTTTGAAGCTGGCTGGCCAGAGACTGGCTGGGTACAGAGACGTGCCCACAACCTCTTGTGATGGACAAAAGGGACACAAGGTACTAAGACCAGGTCAGGGCCAAGCTCTGTGCCTTCCAGACCAGGCTCAGCTCAAGAGTCATCTGCCTGGTATCTGAGAAGGTGGGTGCCATCCCAAGGCCCCCTCATCTGACAGTTCAGCATGGTAGAATAGGTCCCGACCCCTACTTCTCAACACTGCTAACTCTGTTCACACTTGTGATTCAAGTGGGTGGTGGTATCTTGGCCCCAAAGTGAACCTCATCGGGGCGAGCATCTAGTGTGCCCGGGAGATGGAGTACTGTGGGAGTCAGTGACCGTGTAATCTGGGTGCCAGGTGGATAGGCACACTCCACACCCTGAGACCTTGTGGGCACGCTCACCCCTGGCCCAGCCAGCCTACCAATAGACCTGTCGTGGGGCTGGCGTATCTGTGGGCACGCAGTAACCCACCTGGGTCTTGCTCTGCAAGGTAGAGTCTGCAGAACTATGACAATACAATGTCAGTAATGCCACTGCCTCCTGCGGGCCTGCTACATGCAGACAGCTGTGCACTGTATTCGTTAGTCTGTAGTGCATTAGTGGTGAGACCCTTTGGGGAAGAGCAAGGGTTAACTGGGCAGAAAGACGTAGGATTAGGCATAAAGTAGAGGGGCAGACATTAGTGAGGTTGGGAGCACCGAGTGAGGAGGGAGATGCAGGTGGACAGACTTTTCGAGGTGGAGCTCTCTCCTGTTTCCTGAGAAACTTGTAGGTTTGAGGGCCTGCAGTCCCCTCACACTCCCCCTCAGGAGACACTGTTAAGATTTCCAGTCTGCTCCATGTGGTTTACTGCCTCAGAAACCTGCTGGAGGTCAGCTGTGGGTCAGTTCTCGCCCAGTGGCAGGGGATGTTTGAGTGCTGTCTAATCCAGGACACAGAGGCCCACCCATTCATGTTTCTGGCCACCATGCAGAAAGTCTGCACAGAGCCTTGAGAAGAGGCTCCTTGTGCGGCTCTCCACCCCTCCCAGCTCATGCTGGGTCTGTCTGAGCCCATGCTGCTCCTCCTTGCCCTATCACAAAACCCTGGGTGGAGTGTCGGGTTGCCACACACAGAGCCCCGAGTGCCAGTACTTCCCGCTGCAGTGAGCCAGCGTGTTCACTCCTGCCCTGCACGGCTGCCAGGCTGCACTGCGTGTCACAGCGCTTCCTTCCCCTTACCAGCAGCCACCTGACTCGCCCTCTGGAACACAGCTCAGCCCTGTTAGCGTCCTGGATGCGGGCTCATCCTGGGCTCAGACACCACACCAAGTGAGCCTTCAAGTAGCTTCTGACTCTTAGCAATTCTGCTCCATCCTCAATAGTTTGGCTGGTGGATTTGAATCCTGGCTTCCTGGTTAACAGGCCAGTGTATAACATCCTGTGCCACCAAGCCTGGATGGTTCACGCATGGCCAAGGGTTCTGGCAGTGCTGGCCATTTCTGTCCCTCTAAAACCAGGTGTGCTCTGGTGGGAGGCCTGGGGGCTGAGTCCTGGAGCAGGTGGCGATGGGCAGCTTCTGAGTGCTCCCTGAGTTCAGCCCAGCACGCGTTTCACCCTCCTTAAAGCTCACACTGCCTGGTACAGATTGAAACCTGACTTCTATGCCTGCAACTGTCATCCTGTCTGAAGCAGCATGGTTTTATTACATAAGTGAGGCAGGATTTGCATAGGATATGTCTTGAGTCAATTCTTTAGAAGACATACAGGAGCAGACTATGCCAGCAGAGATGCCAGCCCATGTAAAGTTTGCTACGATGCCAGGAGATCAAGAATAGAGGTGACAGGGTAAGCCTTCTCTGAAAGTCACACCTGATTTCTAGCCTCCTGAATTAGGAGAGAATAAATTTCTGAATTGTGAGGCAAAATCAACAGGAAAAAAATGCCAAAGTAGAAGAGAAAAGCAGAAGATTTTAGAGAACAACTTGAGAAGACAAAGCAAAGTGTTATAATAAAATAAGCAAAGAGCTAGAATTAAAAAATTAAAAGGGAAAAACTCACTCAACATTTTCCAGGCTGAAGAAACTGAAGAACAAATTCCAGCCTTAACTTGCAATACTGAAGGATGCAAAATTTTGACTAACCTAGGAAGAATCAAAAGAAGATGGGGGGTGGGGGGAGGGGATACACAGAGTTACTGTTCCAGAAAGAACTGTCTGACATGAAACCCTTTCAGGAAAATAGCACAGAAGTTCAAGCTGCATTGAAGGCATTGGCAAAAAACAAGGCCCCAGGAATTGATAAGATATTAGTTGACATGTTTCAACAAACAGGTACAGCCCTAAACATGTTTACCAGTCTGTGTCAAGAAATTTGGAAAACAGCTACCTGATCAATTGACTGGAAGAGATCCCTCTTTATTCCCATTCCCAAGAAAGGTGATCCAACAGTATGTGAAAACAGTATCATTAAAGTCATATGCAAGCAAAATCTTGCTGATGATTATTAAGAAAAGGCTAGAACAGACCATCAACAGAGAACAACCAGAAATTAAATCTGGATTTAAAGAGGCCTTGGCAGTGGGTTGGTGGGCACCAGATGGGCTGTGACTGACTGAGGCCTGTCCAGCAGGATCTCAGCCCCAGGTCATACTGCCTTTGGAAGGCTTTGTTAGTCGAAGGCCTCTTCAGTTGCTTCAGACAGAAAAACTGAGCACAAATTGATTTAATAATGAAACAAAAAGAAAATCATACACTGACTCAAATGCCCAGGAAGGCCGAAGATGGTAACTAGGCAGGTTTGTGGCCCTGAGCCTCAGCCAGGACCTTGCTTCTCCATCTCAGCACTCCTGTGCTCTGCACCATCTTTATGGCTGGGCCTCCAGCAGCTCTGCATCCATTCGGTCAACCCAGCTACTCCTGTGGACAGAGGGCTTCCCCAGAGATGCCAGCCCACGCTACTGTCAGGGACTCTTGTAATCTCTTCTCAGAACCCAGCACAGAGGCCAAGCTCTGGAATATTCCAGTCAGTTGGACCCTTTCTGTAGAAGTAAAGTCATTTCAATACAGACCTGGCATGAAGCTCTTCGTGGGCTTTCTTCCTCTCCCATAACCTTTACCCACACACGTGTCCACATCATCACACGCTGGCCTTTCTCTGCACCTGTTGCTCCTGGCACATGAAATGCTCTTCTTCATGGACCCTTTTGCATCAGCCCATATGCCCCCTCCTGGGAACCCTTTCCTCATGCTCCTGTGGGGTGGTGAGAAGGGGGGATTGCTCCTCTGCTGTGACCCTTAACAGGCTGCCTGATGTGAAGTGCTTGCTTGCTATGTGAGGCTGCAGCTTCTGCCTGAAATCTTAGTTTCCTATAAGCTTATTGGACACAAAACCAGGGCCAAGACAGCAGGGCAGGAAGTATGAGGAACTGTAAAGAGAAACTGGTTGAGTCAGGGTCAAAACTCAGCCCTGGTCAACCTTGTCTACTTTGCCACAGAGCTAGTGTTTCTGAGCCTGTTGTGGCCTGTGTGTGTGTGAGTTCGTATGTGTGTGTGTACATGATGTGTAAGCCTGTGTGTGTACATGATGTGTAAGCTTGTGGCCACTTTTCAAAATCAGCTTCTAGAGCTGGCCGCTCCTCTGGTCCTCACGCTGCCTAAGTCTCTGCCAAGCTGCTAGAAGTTAAGGCCTGGGCAGGTCACAGTAGGACCACACTCAGACCTCAGTGGAGTGAAACAGGAAAAGAAAGGACAGCTTTGGTGAGGCCAGCCAGAACAGTGTCCCTGATGTTATCATCCAGTGCCTCTCCTGGTGAAGGCCCATTGTGCTGATGGCTGGAGTCCTCTGACCACCAGCTCTGGCACCACTGACGCTGTACTTGGATGCTCAAAGGGAAGGACTCAGGATAAGGTCATATCAGGATAAGGGAACTCTGGTATCAGAACACCTCCCACTTTGACTCTTAGGATGATGAGTTCTTGGTGTGTCTTAGTGCTGATGATCTTATTTTCCTGTTGTCTGTATCATGTGTGTTTGTAGAATCCGTTCATGAGTTTGTTTAGCGTGTGATACGTCTAGCCCACATTGACCCAGGGGTGGGGAGTACTGGGGACAGTATAGCCCTCTGCGTCCCCAAGCCACATCCAGAGCATGAGAAGCTCCACCAGCACTCCAGTACCCAGAAGTGTCATGTACCCTAGCTGGGCATTGTAAGAGCCAGAGTGAAAGTACTGATTGTTCTGGTTTGGGATTTGGAGGGGTCTTCTGTGCACCCTCTAGCAGGTGGGTGACTCTTCTTAGGACGTTTCCCTTTGTCTCCACAGGCCTCCAGCCCTGAGTGGCAGCCCTGTCATCTCTGATATCTCCTTGATCCGGCTTTCCCCACACCCTGCTGGCCCTGGGGAGTCCCCATTCAGTGCCCCCCACCCATACGTGAACCCCCACATGGAGCATTACCTCCGTTCTGTGCACAGCAGTCCCACGCTCTCCATGATCTCCACAGCCCGAGGCCTCAGCCCTGCCGATGGTGAGTAGGCCCTGTTAGTTAGGCAGTGAAGGGGGGCAGCAGGGTGACGGGGGACCCCCCCCAACCTCTTCCCCTTTAACTGTGACCAGATTGATATCCAGCCCACCATCCCTGAACAACAAGGTTTGAGAATGGATAGTGCTAAGTGGGAGAATTTGGGGTTCACTGGTTTTTATGCTCTTTACCATAATAATAATAATGGTGTATTTAAGGCAGTCCTATCTTAAGGGAGAATTACTTGGTAGCAGTAAACTGCAGTCTGCAGAAGCCGGTGTTAAGCAGAGGGACTGTTGTATGGAGTGTTTATGCCCCTCTTGGAGGGAGATGAGCCACAGGACCTGACCCTTTCCATCTCCCCCAATCACTGGGCCTCATGACCCTGCTCTGGTTGCCTGAGTGATCCCTACTTAGAGGTCAGTGTAGGTGACTTCAGTGGCAGCCCTAAACTCCAGCCCTTCAAAGAGAATTCCAGGGCTCTGCATCCCCAGATTAGAAGCTGGAGAGTGAGAGCAGATTGGCCCCCAAGTGCATTAATTTGAGCTGGTGAGAGATGCAATTCCCTTGTGCAAACATATTTGAGCCTGAAATGCTCTACTTGTAGTTCCTATCCTGCCCCCTGCCCCAGGAAAACACACACACATACGTGAGCATGCTCGCTGCAGGCAGCAGGAGCACATCTGGTAGGGTCTGCCTGGCTCTGGCTGGCTTGGGCATGACACCCAAGTCTGGAATCTGCTGCCTGTACCGCCGTCCAAGTTTGGTCAGCATCCCTAGCCTGTCCTTCCAAGCAGCTATGCTGTGCCTTCCTAAGACACACAGCAGCCTCGCCTCTCAGCCAGTCCCAGCTAGTAGACTTCCCAAGGGGTGCCCAAGGCTCCTGTGTGCCAGAAACTCTGAGAGGTGAGGCCCCAGTACACCAGCTCTGCTCTCAGCAGATGTCTGTGGACCCCTTGCCAGGGGGTCTGTCCCCTCCCAGATCTCAGGTGTGGCCTGACTGACAAGGTACAGCTGGGATTTCCCAGGGAAGAGACTTGGCTTGTTCTGAAGCCAGTGGAATTGTCTCAACAGCTACTGCCACTTCTTGTCCCAAGGTTTTTATTCCCTTGATCCTCTCCAAAGAAAGCATCCAGCAGTCACAGGAAGGGAGCTGTGAGCCATGAGTGCTGAGCCAGGGTGTGATGCTCCTCTGACATAGCCCAGGGCTCGCCCCACCTTGAGCACCAGCCAATCCTGCAAGTAACCTTGGCAGAGCTGTGGTGCCCGGAGCAGGGAGTGCCTCTTGTGATCACCTGACTGGCCACAGGCTTACCTGAGTGAAGTGTGAGAGATGGAGGTTAGACTCAATGTGTAGCTCACGTCAGGTGCTAAGCCTACACCTGGTGTTTGGGACATAGTGGTTCCAGAGAGATGCTCAGCTCCCAGTTTTTGCCATCTGTCGCTTTAGAGAGAAGGCTCTTTCCAGGTATAACTAAGGCAGAGCTCTTGAGATAAGGATACCCTGAATTGTCCAAGACACTAAATTCAGCAAAACATGGCAATAGAAGACAAGACCACATGAAGACGGGCATATTACAGTGTGCTGGCTGTGCTCACCACCATGCACATGGGCCAGCAGTCATCTGTGACCAAAACAGTGCCCATCAGAGAGGGTGGGCACAGATGGGTGGGCAGCCCAGCTGGAGGGCAAGGTGCACCCTGCGTGCACACAGCCAGACACGTCAGAGAAGACGAGGACATTAGCTCCTTCCGCCCTGCCATCTTCCTGCTGCCAAGACCACAGGAGAGCTTGTTTTTTTATTTGCCGGGACTGTTGATTTGGTTTAATTTAGATTCAAACTGCAGGTGCCCCTTCCAGCTCTGTCTCTGTGCAGATCCCACATCCACTTAACAGGATGGTGATGAGGCTTCTTGGCTCCTGGTGCTGTGCTTAATGCCAGGCAGCTCGGAGCTACTCAGGCACTGGCCAGAGGACCAACAGGACGTCGTTGGTGGTTCCTGCCATTAGTCACAGTGAATTGACGAGTTGGTGTCACTGCCCCATTTCACAGCTCAGAGAGGCTCCCAATCTGAGCACCTGGTGAAACCAAGACTCTAATGGGTGTATTTAGTTTTCTGTTGCCTCCTCATTGCCACACCCCCTGAGGACAGACTCCTTGGTGATCAGAGTTGCCTCCTTCTCCCTTTTCCTGAGCCAGGTCATCCCTCCAGTGCTTAGAAGAGCCCAGTGTGGAGCCCAATGTTGTTCTATTTGCATCTCTGCCCTTCTAAGAAAGGCTCCGCTAGGCCATAGAACTGTCCTGCCTAGAGCTTGGGTTTCCTTGTGGTGTGAGGGACGGGTGTGGTTTTGAGAACAGGAGACGTGGAGGCCTGCTGGGGTCTCTGTCATCAGCAGAAACACCCGACCCTTGCCCCCAACACTGTGCCGGAAGATGCCTGGACAGAAGGTGCTGGGGACCGAGGGACTAGCGACACACCATTGGCCAGCTGTGTGTTCTTCTTTTCCCTGGTGGGAAACAGCAGGTTCTCACTGCCTGCCCCTCTCTTCCGCACACAGTGGCTCACGAGCACCTTAAGGAGAGAGGACTTTTTGGCCTGACCGCTCCTGGCACCACGCCCTCCGACTACTACCACCAGATGGCACTGATGGCAGGCCACCCCACACCCTACAGTGACCTGCTGATGCCGAGTGGGGGGACAGCAGGCACGCCACATCTGCATGACTACCTCACCCCAGTGGACGGTGAGTGCTGGGGTGCTGATGGATGGGGTGAAGATGTGGGATGAGCAGTTGCCACAGGGCTAGGAGGGCCTCTGAGTACTGAGGAGGGGCCTTCCTTTATCTCCCTCTGTCCCCTTGCCTAACACGTGAACTCCCTAGAGTTAGCTTTGTTGTGAATGGGGACACATGCCCAATGGTGCCAGCGAGCTGACAAATACTGTGCCCATGAGAGCAGACTGTTAAGCAAGCACAGAAACACCACAGAACAAATATGCCTGTTGTGGGAATTAGGAGGCAGGCTGAGTGACTGGGAGAGTTGGTCTGCTGACCCAGCAGAACAATGGCTTTGGAGTTTTCAGTCAGGTCTGAGGTTCTTCTCTTCTGAGTGATGACCTCAGGATGTGAGCAGGGTCACGGAAGTGATTCTTCCCATCTCAAGTGTGCCACAGTGTGGGGAACCCAGCCGGACACAGCATTTCTGCTGGCCTCTGAAGAGCCTTGGCTTATGTGCCTGGCTGGAGTGTGTGTGTCTGCCAGCCTCAGATGCAGGCAGGGAACCCAGTCAGAGATGGCCAGTGTAAAGAGGTAGCCACTGCCCATCTGAGATATCCAAGGATAACCCACTGTGCTAAGAGTGTGCTGCTCCAAATGCAGCCATGGAGTGTGCTGGGTAAGGGTGCCTGGTCAGATGGAAGGACACCCGTCAGAGATGATGTGGCCACTGATCTGGGGGCTAACTATAGGCCAGGTGTGGAACAGTCTGCAGGTCCTGGAAAGAACGCTCTCAGCTTCTGGCTCCACATACAAGACAGTGTGGGCATGGCCGAAGTAGAGTGGGGCCTGCGTGGTTGGTGCAGGACAGGTAGTAGATACTGCCACCTGGTGAATGCTGGGGATCTCTCAGGGTGGGAGTGTGGGGAACACCTTTTCCTGCTGCTGTAGATGGTTGCCCCTGCTCCTGCAGCCCTCTGTGCCCACACCGTGGAGCTGGAGATTCGGAATGGCTGTGCTTGAGCCAGTGATCCTACTCAATGTTCCCATTCGGTTTCTTTCTTTAGTCAGTGTTCGAGGTACTTCCTAGTCTTTGCTTTGTAAGTTATGGTTGAAGATACATCACCCTGTCTGGCATCTTTGTTTTCTGGTGTAAACAGAGTTTCCTCCTGAGATGGTCATTATTTTCAGTTCTTTAAGATGAGCAAATGAGGTTCTAAGTATGAAGTGATTGGTGCCAATTGCACCTTGGGATTTCAGAGCTGGCCCTGCTTATTGCTAGCATCATCATCTGCTCGCCCTGGTGTGTGCCTTCTGATCAGAGAGAGTAGCACCTGACAGGTGCATGAGCAAGACCAGATAGGAAAGGTGCGTCCGCAGCCCCAGAGGAGATGGCTGGAGTCGGGCGCATGCAGGGGCCATGGTAAAGAAATATGTGGTGCTGTAAGCTGCAGAGCTGGCCTTGCAGGGGAGGATGTGAAGGCAGGTGGGTGGCCACACTCTGGCCTAAAACAGGAGCAAGATAACGATAACTGGCCGCTGGCATCGTGTGCACCCACTCAAAACCCACTGCCATTGAATCAGTTTGTGCTAATTCCCATCAGGTTTCTGAGGAAGTGAATCCCTAGCGGAGGAAACAGCCCATCTTTGTCCCTCGAAGCAGCTGGTAGACTTGACCTGCCAATGGTTAGAAGCCCAGCGTGTGATGCGCTACATGCCAGGGCTCTTTACATGCAGCCTCATGTCTGTCATACAGTAGGTGCCTTCTCTGCTTCTCTGTTTCCAAATCTTCCCCCTCTTATAAGACTCACTTTCTCTATCAGCACACCTGACCACCAGGTGCCCACAAGTTACCTGTTCATTATATCCACCCGTCCCTCTGACTCATCAATCCTCGTGGCCAGCTTTACTGTTGTCACTGTCCCAAGGCTCAGGCTGCTGTCAGCTCCCTGACCTCACAGTAATTTCTGCTTCTCAGTCTTGTCTTCATGTGATGCCATCAGCCCCACATGACCTCTGTGACATTCAGGTTAGAGCCCTGACAGGCATCTTGATTACTAGCCTCATCTACACTGGAGCCAAACTGCTCTGCCTAAAGCTTCCCGAGCAGCGCACGTCTGCACGGGGGCCTTGGCGTGGTGTGTTCCCTCCACTGAGAATACCATTCCCCATAGCCTGGCCTGGCTGATGGTGTGATCTGCTAGGACTCCAGGCTCCTGCCCCCACAGGCCAGCAGGACCTTACATGTAATCAGATATTGATGCCCAGGGGCTTGGAGTAAGTATTCTGTGCTTGTGGGGTGGGAGGAGGAGGTGGGTAGGGAGGAGAATCAGCAAGTAGATGGGGAAGTGGGTGAGTGGTGGGTAATGGGTGGCCGGGTGATTGAACTAAAAAGGCACAGGCCGAGTGGGGAGCACACTGCCTGTGTGTGTGAGCTGGTCTGCCTTTGGATTGCGGTGCAGCTTCTTACCACTAGGCCACTGGAGTGAGTGCCCTGATTAAAATTGCATTAGTAAATGTAGTTATGGAATTAAGCATTTACAAATGGCTGCAATCGTGAAAGCTTTGTTTTTACCTATTTCACCATAGTATCCATTTTGCATCTTGTTGTTCCCACTCAGCTCTGATGCCAGTGTGGCTGTCTTCTCATATGCACTGGTGAGCAGCTCTGGCCTGGGGTGTAGTCAGAAGGGGTAGGGCGGCCACTCACAACCTCACATCTCCACCCATTGGCCTGGCTGCCTGTCCTGTGGAGTCTGCTCTCGTCTGTATCACAGAGGGCATGGGCCAGGCCTCCTGAGGGGTGGAGGCCACTGTATGGTGGTGCCTTTCTCCAAGGGATATGACTCAGATCAGGATTGCCCCTCAGTGCAGCTATCATCACGTGAGCAGGGAGAGGGGTCACTGGAGGCCCTATGTGCTCCCTCACATGTGAACACCACTGTCTGTCATGCTGTCGCACTCTGCTGGCTGGCTGTCAGGCATCTCACTATGCTGGCTGGCTGTGGGATGTCACACTGTGCTGTGTGCTGTAGCACTGAACTGGCCAATTGTCATACTGTACTATCTGGCTGTTGAACTGTCACACTGTACCAGCCGGCTATTGGGCTGTCACATTGTGCTGCGTTCTGTTGCACTTTGCTGACTGGCTATCAGGCTGTCACACTGCTATGTGTTACTGCACTGTACTGGCCTGCTGTCAGGCTGTAACACTGTACAATCTGGCTGTTGGGCTCTCGCGCTATGCTGGCTGGCTGTTGGGCTGTTGCATTGTGCCATCTGTCTCTCAGCCCGTTGCACTGTACTAGCCTGCTGGCTAGCTGTTGCACTAGGCTGGCTTTCTCATTTCTGTGATACTGTTTCTCTGCCACCGTTATTTTGAATACCAGATGTAACCAATGTGGACAGATCTCCCAGACTAAGACAGAGTAGAAAGCCTAGCTGCCACCTTCCAGAAAGCAGCCAGCAAAAATGCTGTGGCTCAGAGGAGATATGGTGTCAGAAGGGGAGGCCCTGACTGGACTGGAGCAGAGCAACAATTGTGAGGGCACAGGTGCACGCAGCACTTTCTTGTGACATCAGCATGAGCCAGGGCCCACCCGGCCCATCTAACACTACAGCAGCTCTGTCCTGGCACTGTTCTCCACACCAGAGACATCACCACGTGCAGGTGACCCCAGCAGGTAATCCTGTCCTCCTGCTCCCCAGGAAGACACTCCCTGCTGACCTGTCGCTCAGCACTTCTCTCAGCACTCTTCTTAATGTTCTTAGGTGTTGCAGTAGCCATGAGACAGGACAGGGACACAGAGCTTTCCGAGCTGGGAAGGTGGGGGTTGAGGAGAGCAGAACCTTCCAGCAGTAGAGCACCTGAGCAGAGCAGAGAACATGCCAAGGTGTTTTAGAAGGTCCCCTCAGCCAGTCCTTGGAAAGATGGAGAAAGAGGAGGAGACCACCAATGAGATGGATTTCCATGCTGACTGTGATAATAGGCTCAAGCATGTCAGGGATGGTAAGGAGGGCACAGGACAGGGTGGAGTGCAGATCTGTGGTTCCTAGGGTTACTGTGTGTCATTGGCTCCACAGCAACAACCACTGAGTGCACACACATCCCACAGAGCGGCACCTGAAACCCACTCATCAACAAGCCGTGTCACCTCAGCAGAACAGCATTTGCCACAGTCACTTTATATTTCTAGTCAACTGTTTGTAGGTGTAAGTAACATATCAAGATTCTTACCACTGGTTCAGCAGGCAGTGTCGTGATGGATGGTGAGGAGATTGAAACTCAACAGCTTTATCTTGCTTGCGTCCACAATTAACAACCTTTGTACAAGCAATCAGGAAATAAGGAGACACATTGCAATGGGAAAATCTGCAATTAGGAACCTTTCCAAATTATTGAGAAGTAGTGATGTCAGTTTGAGGACTAAGGTGCATCTGATTCATTCTAGCTATGCATCCAAGACCTGGAAAATGAATAAGAATGACAGAAAAAGAATTGATGCTTTTGAGCTGTGGTGTTGGAGGAGAACACTAAACATTCCATGGACAGCCAAGAAAACCAATAGCTATGTCTTGGAGATGGTGCGGTCGGAATGCTCTTTGGAGGCAAGAATGATGAGGCTTCGCTTCACACACTTTGGACATATTGCTAGGAGGTGCTACTCCTTGGAGAGGGACATGATGGTGGGAAGAGTGGAGGGTCAGTGAAGGAGAGGAAGACCCTCAGCCAGGTGGGTTGACCAGATGACCGCTGCAATGGGTTCTTGTGTGTCAGGAAGTATGAGAAAAGTGCAGGACAGGGCAGGTTCAGAGCTTTTGTTCATAGGGTCACTATGAGCCGTACTCAACTTGATGGCACCTAACGACAACAACAGATTGATGTAAGAGGAGTATTCCATTTGTTCCTTTTCTGGAAAGCCTGGTGATGTCTGCAGATGTCCTTGTCCACAGCAAGGCTAAATAACCTTCATGGGGTTATGTGTCCATCTGACACCTGGGCAAACACTACTGGTCTATCCCCCACTCTCCCGGCCTTGGGCTTAGAGCTCATCGCTGCCCCTGCATTGTGTCTGACGTTGTCACTCACACAAGAGGAGACTGCCCATTCTTCTCCTTCAGCTGCTGGTGGATTCAAACCATCAGAGAGGCCTTGGGGTGGGGTGACAGCAGGCAGCACAAGCCCCTACACCCTCCCACTAGAGCCCCCAACCCCGCCACCTACTTCCAAGAATATTCCCATTCCTGGTAACCTCGTGCAGAGCGGTCGGAGTGGAACTGGCTGTTCAGCAGCTGTGATCTTTCGTAAGTAGCCCACAGCTCCTCCAAACCCGTGAGCTTTTGGTTTGCATTGTAGTCCTTAACCACTTGCACCATCCACATAGTCCTGGTGGTACAGCAGACAAGCGTTCTGCTACTAAAAAGAAAGTTGGCGCCTGTGTTAGGTGGCTGGCTGGGGTTCTGCTCCTGTGGACTCCAGCCTGCGAACCTGCAGAGTGGCTCTGCTGTTCCATGGGTCGCCACGGCACCTTGTGTGGCAAAGCCTCCCACAGCGAACTGGCAGGCAGGTACCTAGAACAGGCTCTCCCTGAACTGAGACCCGGGCCCAGCTGTGCCTTCATCACAGGGCCTCGGCTATTCCCCTCCATTCCGTGAAAGCTCCATCTCTGTGTTGGGGTGCTGTGGGCCTCTTGGCCACTGGACACCCATTCTTGGGGGTGCTTAAAGGAGGCCAGCTTCATAGCAAAAACTGTAAGGAGTGAAACTGCATCAGGAAGAAATAGATAATCAGATAGTGATCCGAAGTAATTCGTCTGTTAAGTGACTGTCTGGAGAGCATGTTCACCGTTTGTCACCAGACCTAACGTGGGATGTTCCCTTATTATGCTCTTGAGTATTGGTGATTTAGTGGTGGAAAAACAGAAGTCACCCCTCCACCACCACATCAAGAAGAAGATTGAGGTGTTTCCAATGGAAATGTTGTGTGCTTACCACCCATATTTTCTCCCAGCTGTCTCCTTTATCGTCATATTGACACTAATTTGACTCAGATGTCACCTCAGTTCTGACGCTTGTTCTTTATGCAGCAGCAGTTCCAGGGTGTTTTTCAGAAACCAGTTACTTTGATCACTCTGAAGACAGTCACAGAGGGGCCAGGGGGGCTGCCAGCAGGCCCAGGTCAGCAAGAAGCTCACGCCCATCCTCCAGATGAGGCTGAGGAGGCCCAGGGACTGGGCCACTGTATGCCAGCTGAGTGCTTGCCTCGGCTCATCTGTCTGTCAGAGCCTTCTGGAACAGCAGTGAGACTGGTATCCATTGGAGAACTTGAGGTAGAAGTCTGTCTGTGCCACTCACCCAGGACGTTGTGCTGCATGACCTCTGTCCCTTGCCCCAAAAGGCCACAGTGGAAAGGGCTGTCAGCTAAGCTCAGTTAAGACCCTCCAGGAGCATGTCCTTGAAGCAACCTCGGTGACTAGAAACGTCTGAGGCGGGGGAGAGGAGTCGGGCTACATTCACATCGGGGGTTTCTCCTGTAGCCAAAGTGCTCACTGAGAACTCTAGGAGCCCACCCCAGGGTGTGACATGCTGAATCCCAAGAGGGTGCCTACTCGGAAGCTGAGAACAGCACTGGCATGCAACATTGTGGCAGAGGGCCACACCCTTACCATCAGTGCTGGTGCCTTGGCAGTCCATGGTCTGACTCCCTCGTCCTCTTTGCCTATCATTCGGCTCTGCCGATGGAGGCATGGTTGGCCATTGGAGGATCTCCGTTTTTAGACCAGTGGGAGCCCTACCTTCCTGCATGCATGTCATCACTGCTGTTCTTGGTCATTTGTCACCCACCCACATCTCCATCCCTCTGTAGATAATACCCTTCATGAGGGGAGGTTTGTGTCCTCCTGACTAGGGGTCCCACTGTGTCCTTGTGCTGCACATAGACTGAATGAGTGAATGAGCAAAATGTGAGTGAATTAAAGAAGAGACCAGTGAGCAGAGCAGAGATGCATGTGTGACAGACAGGAAGACCAGCAGCAGCACTAGCTTCTGGCCTGCAGCCCATTAGTACAGGATATCCATAGAAGAGAAGACTCCACAGCCGCCCAGGCTACAGCCGTAAATCGTGGGAGAAGCCACGGGAAATGAGAGCTGCACTTTTCTTTCTGTTTAGTAATTTATCAAGGGAAGAGGCACGTTAATAAACATATTTCCCTTGAGGTGTGGGAATAACAGAGATGAATATCATTGTCAAATCTGCCCGTTTCCTCGTGTTAGGGGCACACAAGAGAGTGGGAATCCAAATAGTAGCAGCAAAATCTCTTTTGAAAAATGTGTTACAAAAAGTGTGTGTGTGAGAGAGAGAGAAAGATTATATGGTTGTGTCTTTTTCCTCTCCTTTCCCATTCACCCTCCATTTGGCACTCTTTAAATAAGAGTCCTTGGAAGATTGGCTTTCGTGTCTCACAGAATTTTCCTTTGAAGTCAGACCTGATAGGGAGTGACTCTGACAATGAGTGGCCATGTGTGGCTGCTGGTACATTGCCCAACGTCTCTCCTGCACTGGCTGTCCTCCACCTCTCTGTCACCCTAGGCTTCCCCTTGCCCGTCCCGCCTCTAGACAGGTGATGACCACTGTTGTTGGATGCCATTAGTTGGTTCCAGCACAGCAGCTACCCATTGGCCAAAGGACTTGTGGCACAGTCAGAGTGCCCCTGTCTTGCATCCACCTGTGGGCTGCCTTCCTGCCAAGCGCACCTTCCTCACCATGTTAGCTGTGTCCTGTCCTCCTTGTGTCCCCCAGTTCACAGTGCACTGTCTTCCAACTGGGTGCACCTTCCTCACCATGTTATCCATGTCCTGCTGTCCCCGCAGGGACAGTGTCTGAGTTGTGGAAGTAGATGACCAGTCCTTTCTCCCTACTCTGCCTTAGCCTGCAGATGCTGCATGGTGTAGCCCTGCTGGTGTTTGAAATGGTGGAGACACAGCTTCCAGCATCACAGCAGCACCATGTTGCCAAAGTGTGACCAGCTGATGGACAAGTGGTGACTGTATGCCCTGGCGTCTTGGTAGAACCGGGTGCATTCTCACAGACAGCCCACCAGACAAGCCAGACTGCCACACTCATACAGATCAGACAAGTTTTATAATTTGCTCAGAAAAGAGTTGGCAGGTTTGCCTTGGCCAGCCAGTGCACAGTCCACATCATGAGTGTTCTCCCCAAAACCAGGATCCTACTCCTTCCCACCACAAGGACAGGGGCAAAGGATAGTTTAGGCCAGCTTCCAGTCCCATGTTCACCACTTCTTTTGGCTCTGTGGCCTTACACAGTCTGCTTAACCTCTCTGTGCATTCTCATCTGTAGTATGAGGCTAACAACAGCAAAAGAAAGAGGAAAAGTTGGGTTTTGGTTTTTTGGGTTTTTTTCTTTTTTCTTTTCTGACTCATGCCAGCTCTACATGGTACAGAGTAGGACTATACACTGTAGAGTTGCTTGGTCATGACTTTTCAGAAGTAGAACCAAAACTTCTTTTACAAAAATCAAAAGTCATTGGTGGGGAAACAGGACCAACTCGCAGAGGAGTGTCAGACTAGAAAGCACATGGGATTTGCCCATATTTCTCCTGAGGAACAACTGGTGGAAAGACTTCCTGGTGAAGAGTGGCTCAGCTGAGGTCTGAATGCAGTGGAGAGGGGCGCATGTCAGCGAGAGAAGGCACGTGACTGGAGCAGAGCTGGAGTAGAGAGGTAGGATGCAGCTGGAGATGTGTGGGCCTTGCTAAAGATCCTGACCTTTTCCTAAAAGCAACGGGAGATGTTGGCAAGGTCCTAAGGAGGACTCCAGCCACAGTGCACAGTGTGGATTGAGAGGTCTCTATGACGGTGCTGGAAAGTGAAGCTGGGTGGGCTGAGAAAATGGACAGGCAGAGCACTGACACTCACTCACCAGACTTTATCATCACCACACCCTGTGAGCTTCAAGCCCACTTGACAGATGGGCAGACTAAGGCTTTGTGCACATGCATACATGCGGGTGGTGCTGACACACCTGCCCTGGTGGCTTTTCCAGTGTCCCGTTTCTCCAGCCCGCGTGTCACACCTCGGCTGAGCCGCAAGCGGGCTCTGTCCATCTCACCGCTCTCTGATGCCAGCCTGGACCTGCAGCGCATGATCCGGACGTCCCCTAACTCCCTGGTGGCCTACATCAACAATTCGCGGAGCAGCTCTGCGGCCAGCGGCTCCTATGGGCACCTGTCGGCTGGTACCCTAAGGTGAGCCTGGCCTCAGGGCTGGGGGCCAAGTTGGGAACTGGGTGGGGCCAGGTGGGCCTGTCTTTTTGGTAGGAGGAGGAAGAGAGGACTTGTTACATTTGCAGGTTCACATACTTGTATTTTCTCATCAGTTCACTACCAATGATGAAGACATCCAAATAATACCCACATTTGAGTATACCTTTATGTGCCTTGTGCACATCTCCCAAACCAATTTCTGATGTGAAAGTGGCATTTACTGTCTCATCATGTCAGTCTGATCATGAAATCAGTGTCGTGCCTGGACTTGACTTGTATTTCAACAGGAGTCGTAGGCGTCCAGGCAGTGACACCAGCACTAGATCCTCAGATGCGTGGCAGGGCTGAGGCAGGTGCTGTCGGCCAGTGCCTGGGCTGGCAGGGGCTTCTACTGTGGTCACGGCATGGCTTGCTCAGAGTTAGCACCATCTGTGGCCCTCAGCCCCTTAAACCCCATCACTGTGTTTGGAGCTCTTGTCCTTCCTCTGAGCCATCTCAAACCTGGAGGCCAGAGGACTTTGATCCCAGAACCCAGTGATAGAAATGACCACTATATAACAAGTCACTACAAAGTCAGCAGCTGAATACAAGCATGGCCTGCGTCACACGGCCTCTGAAGGGCCAGACTCAAGGAGATGGCCAGCTGTCCTGACTCAGCCTCACCCTGAGGCCGTGAAAGCATACTGAGGCCTCTCCACAGTCTGTGTGAGCATCCCCACAGTCTGTGTGAGCATCCCCACAGTGGGAGGGGGATATGTCCTCCAGAACAAGAGCAAAGGGCAGCTTCAGGGTCTTTAAGACCCTGTTATTTGGATGTCACTGTTATCGCCTCAGTATCCTATTGTGAAAAGGACTTCTTTGTGAGAATGGTGTGGAAGAGACTGGGGGAGCACAGCAGTGTAGAATGTATGAGCTGGAGCGCTCTGGGCATACTTCCTGAAGGAGATGACATTGAAGAGGCTTCGGAAGCCAGATGCCTCCCAGTCAGGAGGGAGGTGTGTTGGGCCCACAGATCCAGAGAGAAAATGATTATTAAGAGGTACATCACGTTCTGCACAATGATCCTGAAATAGAGGAGGCAGTAGGGTATGAGAAGACTGGACCTCCAGGAGCCCAGCTGCCACAGAAGAAAGCTACATCCTGGGGCAGGGTCTGAGAGCTGAATGCTGAATAAGGGACCTGAGTCTTGAGATGACAGGTGAGGGAATCCTTAGTTCTGCAGCCTCAGCATCCTGGTTGCCGTCCCCTCGCAGGACTGCCTTCCCTTACTTTGTCTATTCTCTATTGCAGCCCAGCCTTCACCTTCCCACATCCCATCAACCCGGTGGCCTATCACCAGATCCTAGGTCAACAGAGGGGCCTGGGCTCAGCCTTTGGACACACGCCACCCCTACTCCAGCCCTCACCCACCTTCCTGGCCCAGCAGCCCATGGCCCTGACCGCCATCAATGCCACACCCTCCCAGCTTGGCAATAGTGGAAACTGTCTGAGTGACACCAGCCAGGTAGGTGGGTCCAAGAAGCAGGGTGGACCCTGTAAAGACAGTCCATTCCCATCTCCTGTCAAGAACCCGTGGAAAGACTCTGGGCTCAGGGCTGCCTGGTTAGAGGCCTCAGGCCAGGTCAGGGTGATTGCCCCAGCTTCTGTGTGCCACAAATGTATAGATACATGGGACAGAGGGAGTACTAAGTCCCAGTTACCACCAAGAGGTGCTTTGTCTAGAACAGGCACTTTTGAGCTGTATGTATTTGACCCTTTCAGCGAGCCCAACATCCTGGCACCATGCTGACACACCAGGTGGCATCAGAGTGTAGAGAGAATGAGGCCCTGTATTACAGACACAGAGATGCATGAAATACCATGTAGTGCTAGGCCAGCCTGAGGGCATGCTGCTGGGTCTCATTCTGCCTGAGCTAACCACAGAATTAGTAAGGTGAGCCTCTTGCCTGCTGTGCTGGGTTGTGGTGCATGTAAACAAGCCGTGTGCAGAGACCTTTGGAGCATGCTCAGCACACCTGGGGAGGTTCCTTCCCCAGACCGCCATTCAGCAAGAGGCTGAATCAGATGTGCTGCATCCTGGGGAAGGAGACCAGAAGCAGCCCCTGTTCCAGGTTACCCTCACCCCCACCCAGCTCTGCCTAGCACATCCCCTCCAGGCATCTGCTATTGGCATCTATAGTCCCAGCCCCCTCATGAGGACCCAGGCCTTCCTGCCAGCCTCTGTTCCTTTCCCAACCAGAGCCTCCCCTTTCACTCTTGCACTAGGGGGATGGATTGTCCTCCTCCTTGGGACAAGGATAAACGTGCCCAGATTTTTCCAAAGAAAGAGTCCCTTCTGCATCCCCTTGGGGTCTTGAGGAGGTCAAAGTAGGGGCTACCTAGTAGAGAAGGCTGCCCGACAAGGACTATGCTGGAAGACTGGTCTTCTTACGCTTCAGTTCCAGGGGTTGGCCAGGCAATCTGTTTTGGTGACAACCCATCTTGTGCACTGTTTGTAGAATAAGCCAAGCAGCGAGTCAACTGTCAGCAGCACTGCCAACCCCATCATGATCCATAAACGCAGTAAAGTCAAGACAGAAACCGAAGGCCTGCTGCCCTCCTCCCCGCAGATGTTGACACAGGTGCGTGCAGGCCACCCACTAGGTGCTGGCTCCTGTGGATGCCAGAGCCTGCTGGTCAATGATGAGTAAGTGCATGTGTGTGTGTGTGAATGAGTGAGGTCACAGGTGGAACTGTGTGCTCAGGACTGGTGCCTCTTCCTGCACCCCCTGCCATGTTGCTCATCAAGCATGCACTTAGTAAAAGAACTGAAGAGGACTCCCTCCCACTTCTCTGGGTCCCCAGCTGGCAGCCAGTCCCCTCTTTGCACTTCTTCCTCACCTACTGCAAGCCAGCTAGACTGCTCGGCTCCCTCTGCTTGATGAACCAGCCCCCCAGGTGTCCCTCCCCTGGCCCTACTGCCTTTCTTACCTTCCTTTCCTCCTGCACAGCACGGGGTATGCCAGCCCACACTCTCCTCCCAGCTGCCGCTACTGGCATTGCTGTCTCCCCACAGCCTGGTAAGCTTTGGGGGGACACTTTGAGAGCAGGGAGGATGACTCACCAGCTGTGCATCTGACCAGGTTTGATCCATGTCATGCCCCTGTTGCACAGTCACCCACCACCTCCACTCTTTGAGACAAGGCCTGAATGTCGTGTGATGCAGAACAGGTTCTCCTGACACTTCCAGGTTAGGATGGCCTAAGAAGACAGGCTTGGTAATCAGCTTCGGGAAACAGCCCCTGAAGCCCATGGATCATGGTGCTACAGTCCCAGTGGACGTGAAATGAGCTGGAAATCAGCCCCTGAAGCCCATGGAACAAGGGGCTCTGGTCCCGCTGGATGTGACATGAGCTGGAAATCAGCCCCTGAAGCCCATGGAACATGGGCTGCGGTCCCACTAGACATGAGGTCGCCATGAGGTGGAGGTCGAACCACAGCTGCTGACAACAGACACAGCATTGAGGGAAGCATCTGCTTGGTGTCAGGGCTGGCATTTGTACAGGGCTTGGCCTACACTGGCTTGCAGAGATGCTTTGTGTGAATGTGTGAATGAGTTCATGGATTCCATAGCCTGGGACAGGCCTCCAGAAGTCTCTTCGGAAATTTTTACATGTATTCTAACCCACCAGGATGGCAGGCAGGCCGTGTCAGCCTCCTAGAGCACAAGGTCTGTCCTGAGAAGTGCCTGGGGGGCTGCCAAACAACAGGCCAGCCCCTCCACGCCCCCCCCACCTCAGCTGTGCCACCGCGCACTCTGGTCTCCTGTCCCCATCTCTCTCACATCTGCCAAGCATCGCTGTCAACACTGTAAACCATCAGGTGTGATCCAGGCACTTAATTTTCATGAATTATTAGACCCAGTTATTGTCAGGTAAGCAGAGGAGCTGGTGACAAATTTTCCTCCCATCCATAATGCAGCCCTAGTCTTAGCATGATGTGTGGCTTCCCATCTATTCCGAGGGCGGCAGGAATTGATGAGATGGCACATATCTAGGGAAGACAAGCACTTGGGAAGGTTGACAGCGGGCAGGTGGGGCACCTGCATTTGGTGGGCGATGCCCCTCTCCAGTGACCTCATCCCTACACACACTCCCAGGCAGGCAGCCACAGAGGACTGAGCCGCCCTACCTGTCCCTGTGACCTCCTCGAGCATGTCAGTCAGGGCGAAGCTGTTCATCATAAGGAGCCTGTCCCCATGCCATCAGGGTCCTGGCTCAGTGACTGTGGACTCACAGCTTATTTGTGAGGTGGATGTGCTTGTTCTGGGTGAACATAAAGTGCAACATGCGCCCTGTTTTGCTGCCTTGGCAGCCGGTGCACCCCATATTTTTAGACTCCTGCACACCAGCCTGTTAGTTTAATGTGCTCAGTTTGCAGCCTGTGAAAACAGGCAGAGAGTGGAGGGAAAGGTACCTCATCCATTCCCCTGCAAGATCGCCCTTGACAGCCCAGCACAGAACCCATCGCTGAAGGTCAGGAGCAGAGGGCCAGAAAAAAAACAACCAAAACCCAGTCAGTGGTACCCTGTGGATCACAGTAGCCTGACCCCCAGTTTATTATCTACTTTGGAGATGTTTCTTCCCACATGTATAGAGTCACCATGTGTTGACAATCAACTCGACAACAGGCACAGTTGCCTTGGGTGATCTTGTTGAAGACCCACAGTAGAGGCCTCTTGCACCATCCTTCCTCCTGGCCCCAGTACACCTGGAATCAAGCAAAAGAGGCTTCTGCCTTCTGTGGGTGCACTAGCATGATGGGAGGCTGCATTGGGGTGCCATGGAGGCACTGGCACAGTACAGCTGCTGTGGTGAAACATTGCAGTGCAGCTATAGGTGAGGCACTGTCTACCCAAAACCTCAACCCTTGCAGCTATACAAGTGCTTGTAAACATCAGTGTACACTAGGAAGGCCATAGCGGGGAGAGTGCCACAGTGAACGCACTGCTGTCCCTAGCCACTCACTGTGTGCGAGGCCAGGTGTCCTATGCCCCTAAGGAGGATGAGGAGGAGCTCTAAGAATAAGGGCCCCAGAGCCAGGAGAGGAGTGTGGACTTCCTGCAAGCAGCTGAACCCTATACACTAGAACCCACTCCAGAGCCTGTGATGCCCATCCTTAACCGAAGAGACAGAGAGGATGAACCCAGGCAGCAGCCATGGACTCCTGTCCCTTGTACTAACTGCCAGGAGCGATGGGCCACTATGGTGGTGACAAGCAGCATTAGGCAGGAAAGAAGGAGGGCTGGGTAGCAGGGGAGAGACGGTGCGGACCTGTGGTTTGTCCAGTCAGTCTTTAGCAGCCAGGGTCCTTAGCACAGCCTCCCAATGCTGACAGGAGCCTCTCTTCAGGCCCTGCCCTCAGGGCCATGTGGCTGGACACAGCTCAGGAGGTTACTCTGTCCTCCCCCAGGAGCAGCTGGCTGACCTCAAGGAAGACCTGGACAGGGACGACTGTAAGCACGAGGCTGAGGTGGTCATCTATGAAACCAACTGCCACTGGGAAGACTGCACCAAGGAGTACGACACCCAGGAGCAGCTGGTGCATGTAAGCATGTGGTACCAGCAGCCCGTGGTGGTGGGCCCTCCAGACCCTGTGCTGGAGGTGACGGGAGGAGGAGGCCACAGATGGAGGGCCACACGATCATTTAGATGTGCCCTGCTGTTGCTAAAACGGGGTGTATGAGTGTACATGGAGCCCTCCATCAGTCCATCCAACTACGTAGCCCTCATAATAGAGTTCTGGGGGACTCTATTATGCTAACAGGTAAGGAGTTAGCTGCCATCCCAAAGGCAGGCAATTCAGATCTGCCCGCTGCTCCTTGTCCTCATGTGTGGTTTACAGCCTCCAAAGACCCACTGGACGGTCAGCTGTGAGTTGTTTCCAACTCCAGAGCAACGTAGAATAGTGCTTGTCCGCTGTGTCATGGGAGAAAGATGCACTGTCTCCTCTCATGAAAAGTTACAGCCTCAGCATCCCAGTGGTGGTCACTGTGGCTGCAGTCAACTCAGCCTTGGTGAGTCTGTGATACATACATCTATCTGTAGATATATCTACACCTGTAATCAATCTATGTGTCTATTATCTAGCTATCTAATGTGACAGAGTCAAAGAATACTAAATAAATGAGAGAACTGAGAGGGATTGAACAATAAAATGAAACCAGGAGTGGATGAATATTCACAATGGATCACCACAGCAACCAGTGCAGAGGGAAATAAAGTTAGTTTAGCCAGATAGTATCCACGAGCTAGCTGCAAGTCTGGCTTGGAGGCCTGAAAGAAGTTTCTCAGTGGGGGAACAAGCTGGTGACTTCCTCGAAACCCTTCCAAGGTAGCTAGTACCTGATGGTGCAGCTGAGTGTCTACACACAGGCCAGGAAGGAACTCTTGCCTCAAGTCCTGACATAGCAGGGGCTAGAAGAGGCCGTGGGAGCTAGGTGAGCCCTGAGGGGATGCTTCGTGGTCCCTACTCACAAGTGTCCTGCAGGAGCATCCCCGCTGGTGGCTGTCAAGGACTTGGTGTGCAGTCTGGTATCCTCTGGGAGCCTCTGTTCCTCTGCACTGTGGGCTGAGGGCTGACTGGAGCCACAGGTGAAGCACTCACATACCTGACACACCCTGCTGGGTGGTTCCCGCCCTCCTCTTTGCCCCACTCCAGCCTGAACATCTCTCCTTTCAGAAGTTAATAAATTCAGGGTAAAGTCCCCTGCCCAGGCCTGGGGAAGTGGTGTGAGGACAAGTGAAACTCAAGCTAAGTACTGGGATACCATGCAGTCTAGAGACACACACACAGATACATACATACAGAGAGGCTTGTATAGTGACACCTTAATATTCATACATTCATACAGTTGTGCATTCAAACTCTCATGCTCATACACCATCTCAAGCACTGTCACACATACACTCATACATTCATATTCACACATCTGCATACTTACACTCGCATATACTCTTGTGCATGCATGTGACGTGTACACTCACATTCATGTTCGTACGCTGGCACGTGTACACTCACATTCATGTTCACAATTCCTTGTATACTTAATTTCATACACTCTCACACATATACATGATTAAACAATATACTCACACATTCATACATATACACTCATACGTTCACGGCCCCATGCATGCACGCACACACTCACACACACACACATACACTTCATGCTAACACTTGTTCCTTGTGCACTTTTATACACTCTCACACATGCTCCTTCCTGTTCACGTTCTGGAGCCATCTCAGAGATGTGTTTTTCTATTTTTCTGAGTCAGACTATATCCAGCTTTATTAAAGATACTTTTCTTTTTTTAATTACAGTTTATTACTGTGATTTTAACAAAAGTTTACAGAAAAGTTGCATTTTTATTCATTCATGGTTGCACCTTTTCCTTCCTTTCCCCCCCCCCCAACCTTTTTCCAGTCTACTTTGCAATGAACCTCTTATTCTGGACTGTTGTCATACAAATAATGCCTAATTATATATTCCTTTTAAACAGTTCTTGCCTTCATATATTCCCATGCACTGTTCATTACATATCCTCTCTTTTCCTAGTTTCTCTCCAAACCCCATGTCAGTCCTGTTTTATAACAGTGTGTTATGGAGATATTTCACTCAGCAGAAAGTTCTCCAGGGTCACCCAAGCTGTGTAATGTTCTACGAGTTCCTTGTTTTTCAGTGCTGCATAGTATTACATTCTGTGAATAGATCATAGTTTTTCTATCTGTTCATTTGTTAATGGGCATTGGTTTGCTTCTATCTCCTTGCTATTTTAAATAATGCAGCAGTAAACACGATTGTGCATATATCTGTTTGGGTGGAAGCTCTGGTTTCTTCTAGTAGTGGAATTGCTGGGTCAAAAGGTATATCCGTTTTCAAATTTTTGAGAAAGCACCATACTGCCTTCCTTAGTGGTTGCACCATTTTATGCTCCCACCAACCAGCAGTGAATAAGGGTTCCCGTCTCTCCACAACCTCACCAGCATTTGTTTTTTGCTGCTCTTTTGAACTATGCCATTATTATTGGGGTAAGATGCTATCTCATAATTGTTTTTCTTTGCATCTCATAGCTAGCAATTTTGAACATTTCTTCATGTGTTTGTTTGCCATCTGAATGTCATCTTTGGTGAAAAGTGTCTGTTCATATCCTGTGCACATTTTGTGATTGAGTTGTTCACCTTTTTCTTTTTGAGATGCTGGAGTATTCTATAAATTTTAGATATTAGTCACTTACCAGATTTGTTGTTGTTATGTGCCATCGAGTCACTTGCAACTCATAACAACCCCATGTACAATAACCCTGAAATATGCTCTATCCTGTGCCAACTTTACTATCTCTGACACACCTACCCTCATTACCCCAGTCACAAAATCAATCCATCTCATCAATGATCTTGTTCTCTTTCTCTGTCCCTCCACCCTTCCAAGCATGATGTCCCTCTCCAAGGACTGGTCCCTCCTTGCAACATGCCCAAAGTGTGTCATACAAATTCTCAGAATCCTTTTCTCCAAGGAGCAATGTGGTTTCACTCTCTCCAGGATGAATATTTTTGTTCTCCTTGCAGTCCATGTGTATTCAACACTCTTCTCCAGCACCACAGCTCAAAGGCATCAGTTCTCTTACTATCATTCCTTGTCATTGTCCAGCTCTCTGATGCACAGCAAGCAATACAAAGACTATGGCTTGGATGAGGTGCATCTTAGTCTTCAGACTGACATCTTTGCTCTTAAGTACTCTGGAGAGGTCCCTGACAGCAGACTTTCCAATGCAATTTGTCTTTTGATTTCCTGGCTTCTGGTACCAAAAGTGTTATTGTGGAGCCAAGCAAACTAAAACTGCTAACAATCTCAAACTCTTCACCATCTATCATGATGCTGACAATTGGCCCAGTGATGAGAATCATTGTTCTCTTGATGATGAGCTTCAATTCGTGTTTAAGGCTGTAGTCCTTTACCTTCTGCAGCAAGCACCTCAGGTCCTCCTCAGTTTCAGCAAGCAGGGTTGTGTCATCTGCATAACACAGGTTGTTGAAGCTTCCTTCTATCTGGATGCCACATTCCTCCTCATCCAGCCCCACCTCTCAAATGATCTATTCTGCATATAAACTGAAAAGTATGGAGATAAGACACATCTTTGGCATACACCCTTTCCAATTTTGAACCGTGCAGTATTTCCTGGCTCTGTTCTGATGACTGCCCCCTTGCCCAAGTATAGATTTCGCACAAGCACAATGAAATTTTCTGAGATTCCCATTCTTCTCACAGTTTGTTTTGATCCACACAGTCAAACATCTTTGCATAGTCAATGAAATGGAGATAGACATTGCTCTGGTACTCTCTGCTTTTGGACAAGATCCATCTAACATTAGCTATAATATCCCTAGTACCACAGCCTCTTCTAAACCCAGCATGCACAACTGGCAGTTTTCAGTAATTTTTTGATAATTTTCACCAGAATCTTGCTTGCTTATGATATTAATGATACTGTTCAAGAATTTCCACACTCTGTCATGTCACCTTTCTTTGGAATGGGAACAAATATAGATCTCTTCCAGTCAGTTGGCCACGTGGTTGTCCTCCAGATTTATTGACACAACTTAGTGAGCCCGTCCAGGGCAGCATCTATATGTTGAAATATGTCAGTTGGTATGCCGTCAATTCCTGGGGTCTTGTTTTTTGCCAGTTCTTTCAGAGTAACTTGAACTTCTTCCTTCATCACCATAGGTTCTTGCTCACACGTTATTTCATTAAATTCTTCTGTGTCTACCAATTCCTTTTGGTACAGTGACTCTGTATACTCCTTCCATCTTCTTTTAATGCTTCCTGGATCATTTAATATTCTGTCCAAAGCATCCTTAAGTATTATAACTCGAGGCTTGAATTTGTTCTTCAGTTCCTTCAGCTTAAGGAATGCTGACCAAGTTTGGCCCTTTTGATTTTCTGACTTCAACTCTTTGTACATTTTTTAATCAATTAATTTTAATTTGTACATTTTATTATAATACTTTGCTTTGTCTTCTTTTGAAATCTTTTGTTAAGCCTCCTTAATATCTCTTGGTTTCTTCCCTTTGCTTTGGCTTCTCGGCACAATAGTGCAATATCCAAAGTCTCTTCTGACATCCTTCTTGGTCTTTTCTTCCTCTTCTGCCTTTATAATGACCTATTGCATTCTTCATGGATAATATTCTCGATATCCTCCCACAGCTCATATGGTCTTCGCTCATTGGTGTTCAAGGCCTCAAACTTGCTCCTGAGATGGTTTTGAAATTCAAGTGGGATAGGACTCAAAGGTCAAATTTTGGTTCCTGTGGATTTGATTTCATTTTCTTCAACTTCAGCTTGAACTTGCATATGAGTCGTAGGTGGTCTGTTCCATAGTCAGCACCTGGCCTAATTTTCACAGCTAAATTTGAACTTCTCCAGCAATTCTTTCCACAGATGTAATTTGATTCCTATGTATGCCATCAGGTGAAATCCATGTGTATAGCTTGTGTTTGTGTTTCTTTTCTTTCTTTTTTTTTCTTTTTTTAATTGGGAAAAA